ATAATATTAACAAAAGCACTTCACAGTAGAAGTTGTCTACCACTGGCACAGAAGGGTAATCACTGACAGAACCCGACTCTTTGATACTAAGAGAATCTACCCTTTCCCAATATACTAACCGATTGAATTCTGACATAGACATTGCATGGATTGAAAAAAGTCTCAGTAGCTATGCCTCAGGCTTTCAGATAATCTGGCATGTTTATAGGTATGTCTAATGCCAGTTGGCATGCATAAAGATGGGTGGGACTGGCAATTAGATTGATGATTATCAAAAGAAACAAAAGGTACAATTCATGTTTTTGTAAGTCTTCTGCTAAAATGTTTTTCGTAAGCTTGCTAGGTTGGTGTTGATTGCAAAATTAGTGTTGAAGCTCAAAGCCAGATATAAGCTACTATGTTGCAGTTTCACTATTTATACATATTTATCAGTAAATGGTATGAAAAACTACCGTAGTCTAGAATGTGTAGCATATATGTCTGAGGTCAGGCCCGTAGCCAGCAATTTCAAAAGGGGGGCTCTTTTTCTGAAAAATTGGACCTTTTACCACGAAAGCTTTGTGTGCCTAGATAAAATTTTATCTAAAGGGAACCTTTTTCCAGCAAAAAGTGGGGTTCTTTTGAACCCCCAACCCCCTCCTGGCTACTGGCCTAGAGGTATTAAGAGATTTGCCAAAAAGATAGTGCATGTGTGCATTTCAGTATTCTTTACTATAAAAATTGAAGTTTGTAACAGTAATATTGAGTTTGGACTTTTTCGTGATGATAGTACACACTCACCTCTTCAGGTGTGTATCTTATTTCTTCTGTTTGACTTGGATGGTGTGGAATCACACTTACATCCTACAAGTAGTATTAAATTGTGTATTGTTAGATGTGTTTAGAAGAAACAGGCATTATATTGTGCCAATATTGAAAGCAGTAGCTGTGAAACATTGTATTTAAATGACAAAATGACACTAAGATTACATTGTTGGGTGGCACACATCAAAACATGAAATTAATCCATTATGTGGTCTAAATCCCCGAAACATTAATCCTATGTGGTCTCAATCTCTGAAACAGTTGCTTGTGCACTTTATCATTTTCTAGTTGACATTGAAGGTTAAAACTTTGATTGCCTTTATAACCTATAGTGCTATGACAGCTGTTTTTAAATGAAGCATCTGTGATATTTTAGATTATGTTGTCATTCCAGAAACACCCTGTATTATTACACATGTGCACACATTTTTATGATTTTTGTATAAATTTGATAGTATGACGACATGATTGTACTGCAGATAGCATGCTTCGTGTAACTGATGGCTGAAACCTCATTTCTTTTTTCAAATTCAAAATTGTCTACATCTCTCTGCTATGACAAGTTGGGTTATACATATATGGAGCCTTGACCAAATGGTAAGAGGGAAATAGCATTACTGAAACAAAGGTTACTACTTAGTCATATACTAGAAATTTGGAAATAGCTTCTCTTCTTATTAAAGTTCCTTTTAAGGTAATGTATGTAAAGTATTTTATTGCGTTTTTAGATGTCATCGTTGTAATGGTGAGATTAAATGAAACCACTTCATGAACTCATAAATTCATAAATGATATAATCTGCTCGTTAATGATAGATTAAAACCGTGGTTAATTATGTGAGCATTATGATTCGTGGTATTAAGTGTCGTAATTTCTCCCAAGGCTTTTTTTTTTTGGTGAACTGATAACCTTTGAGTAGCTATATGGTGTCCTCTTTGCATGTAAACTTTGCTGTTTTAACAAAATAGTTATAAATTCAATAAGCTTATGTTACTAAATAGAGCATACAAAAAGTAAAGGAAATCAACAGATAGACAAATGGATAAAGGTAGGTAGGTTAGATAGAAAGATTTAGAAAAAAAATAGAGATGATAATGATTTTCTTCATTGCATGGGTGGTCTTGTACATCACCAGCTGTGCCTGCAGACAATTTTCCATATGGTGCTCTGACAGAATGCAGTTGACAAAACAGTTTGTACCTCAATTTGTACACGTACTAGTGTAAAACTGACCATTTTGTACAGGGGTAAAAAAACTCATTATGTAAAACCTTTCTTCTCAAAATTTTTTTCTCTGCTAGATTTATACAGTTGAGTTCTTAAATAGAGAGGAGATTGCAAATGAATAAGTTCTGATGAAAACTGCATATTTGCCACAGAAGTAGGTGGTTCACAGGCCCATGAGATAAAATATATTGATTCCGGATCACAGAACATAATTCATGAGTTATGTACTACGAAAACATACACAGTTTATTGTTGTCAGGCAATTTCATCTATTATGGTAAAACATGCCCACATCTGATTGTACATGGTGCTGGTTAGATATTTGTCACAGAGCTTTATATATGACATGGCATGAAATATGCCTTCATAGTGCAAGAGCAGTAGGGTAACAGTAGTTAGTGCTATCAGGCAGATCAAGTTTCACTAGCTTCACTGTAATTTTATGCTCTGCTCTACAGCTATACAATATGAGAAGCCATGCAGGTTGCCTTCGGCTATTTTGTATTGACCAGTCTATGACTGACTGCTTGCCATGCAGTTACTGTTTTCTTTTATGTAATGCCACCATATCAGGGCAGTGGAGTGTTTACGCTTTGCAAAAATAAAAATTAAAAAATATGAAAAAAGGAAATAAGATTTAGAAATACAAGCCTACAACCCCCGAAGATTAAGATTTACTTATTACTTATGGCTAAAAAGACTTGGCCTGGCCACATGTAGGCCCTCTGTCTGAGACATGAGACAGGTTGGTAAGTTCAAACATTGAGCAAAAGAAGTCGTAAATGCAGTCTCACTGTAAACTTAGTTTTTACGGCATCATGTTGAATAGAACAATGTGTGGAGTAACTTAATCCAGGAATCTTTTCAATCCAGGGGGTCTTGTCACATATTTAAAGTCAAGGTTGCAGAACACTGCTATTTTTTGAAAGGTGCATACCCACTGAGGTAAGGAGATTGAAGCTTAGAAAAGGTTATATGTTATATATTATTTATAATACTGCCAGAAGAAAAGACTCTTTTTTGTTTCAGTTTGGTTTCAAGGACATTGAGAGCATAAGAAAGGGATAGCAACTAAATTGCTTGAATTTTTTTTTTTTTTTTTTTTTTTTTTTTTTTTTTTTTTTTGCAATGAATTTTTCCAAACCTTTAGTCACTTTTTGCTCATTAACTATAGAATGAAAAGTTCAACACAAGTCCATTAAAAGTTTTTAGTCCAAAATATTAACTATTTACAGTCTTTCTTGTTATAAAACAGATAACTACTGATTTATTTTGGGCCAAAGTAGACTTAAATTTTTGGTTTTGCAGCAGGGGTCTCCCCAGGCTCTGGGGTGCAGGGGGTCAAAAATGTGAATTTATAATTTGGTCATCGATTTACAGAGAGTCCAAATCAAGCAAACCCAACCAAATGACACAATAATTTTGTAATCCAGCAGTCTTTCGANTTTTTGTTTTTTTTTTGCAATGAATTTTTCCAAACCTTTAGTCACTTTTTGCTCATTAACTATAGAATGAAAAGTTCAACACAAGTCCATTAAAAGTTTTTAGTCCAAAATATTAACTATTTACAGTCTTTCTTGTTATAAAACAGATAACTACTGATTTATTTTGGGCCAAAGTAGACTTAAATTTTTGGTTTTGCAGCAGGGGTCTCCCCAGGCTCTGGGGTGCAGGGGGTCAAAAATGTGAATTTATAATTTGGTCATCGATTTACAGAGAGTCCAAATCAAGCAAACCCAACCAAATGACACAATAATTTTGTAATCCAGCAGTCTTTCGAAATGTAGGCAGTACTTTGAGGCTAATGGCTGGCCAAGTGACGACTGGGCGACTTTCTAGGGGAAACCTTGTAATTTGCAGTTAAGACCAATGTTTAGGCTACAGTACGTTAATGAACCTGGGCCCCTGGTGCTTTGGAGCTCAGGGTCAGGGCTATAGATCTGTAAATCTCACACACCTGACTTGTTCTTGATTTGCGACAATGGAGCAGGCGGTACAGGCACAAGAGAAGAAAAGTAAGGAATGCTGTTATTCAAACATTTCATGGCAAGATCACTTCCATACTGCTGCTCATTTTATTATTCATGAATCATGCACCATTTCTTCTATACACTGGGGCAGCACTGGCAAAACAAACTGTTGAATGCATCTTAAACACCTATTTAATTGGTTGATTTAATAGAAAACCATCTAGTGCAAAGCTTTTACTTTTATAGAGATGAGGGAGTTTTAACTTGTTATTTTTTGATGACTTTTAAGTTATACAGTCTTAGGTGTGTGAATTTTCAGTATGGCAGTTTATGATGCTAACAGGTGCCAATAAAATGCTACACCCTAAAAATTTGTAATATTGATTTAAGGAGATAACTTATGCAGTATTGGATGAAACAAAATTAAAAAATAAAAAGATCAAAATGAAAAATGACCCTTTCCTCTATGATGAAACATTCCTTTTGTATTAATCATGCCAAATTTTTGTATCACATTCTTCGTCTCAGTATGTTCACTAATCTGTTTTATCTTATGTTAGCTTGCCTGAACCAGTCAAGTGGCTTGCTTGGTTTTTACTTTAGATTGGTGGTTAACTGCATTGTATTTATATGTTAAAATAATTCATATGTTGATTAACTTATCTTAAATGACAAACATATCACTATGATGTTTCTATCTAATCGAGACATGGAAGCACATCAGTACAAGCCCCCAGTACTTATCAGTGCAATTTACTTGCATAGACACAAACAAAAGAAAGAGATATCTTGAAAAAAAGTCATGAGATTGGTGTGCATTAAGCATAGAATACAGTTGATTAAAGAGACGTATAAAATCCATTTCAGACATTAAATCCCTTTCTTTTCTATTTCCAGTAGACTTCCCACAGGGCCGGATATTGCTTGAGAGAGAGAGAGAGCTGGTGCAGCATTAGTACAGCACTGAGGGAAGCCAGGAAAGCAGCCCCAATGTGTTAGAACAGACCTCCCCACTCCGCACTATGAGAGAGGAAGAGATCGAGACTGCCATTAAAGTGGTGGTGGTGGGCAATGGAGCAGTGGGAAAGTCTAGCATGATTCAGAGATATTGCAAAGGAATATTTACCAAGGATTACAAGAAAACGATAGGCGTGGATTTCTTAGAAAGGCAGATAGAGTAAGCACATTTTTTATTTAAGTTGATTTATGATGGTTTAATGTTACCACAATATAAAATAGTAAAGATGGTTATGATTACTATGGTGGCAGCTTACTAGTAATAATAAATTATAATCTAGACTATATATTAATCTTTTAAAAGATTCCAAACTGAAGTACTTCTCAGTTGTATGTCTAAAGTTTGAAGAGCTTAAAGAGATGTAAGTGCCTTTTGGTTTTAATAAAAACTCAAGAGCACAATTTCCTTAAATCATTTGGTAAGAGTTTTTTATGAAGAATGCATCATGATGTAAAGAGATCACAATCTGTGGTACATTTCTTGTTGATTTGTATGCAGCACCGTTCAGAGAGTTGACCTAAAAAACACAACTGCACGCCCTCTTGCTACATACTCATGTAACCTTAAAAACCAGAAGTTTCATGACAAATTGTTAAAGCCACAAGACAATTTCAGCATACTTGCGGTTCTTTCCTTTTTTTTTTTAAACCCTAAGAGTTATGTTACATATGTTTTATAATTCTCAACTGAATTGCCAAAAACCCAGTTCCAGCCCAAGTCTGGTATTTGATAGCATTACGTGTAGATTTTCATGTGTTACAGATACCCATTTGTATACAGTCCTACATGACTCTGCCACTGTAAAGCATTCATATTGTGTATGTGATAGGCACTTTACTGCTGCTTCCCTTGGGCTGTCACTCTCTCCTTAAATAACTTGGGGATAATGTTCAGTAGAGTAGTGTAGGAAGTGACCTTTGCAGCTCCCTCTGCCTCTGGAAATCAAAGAAATTCACACATTATTAGGCTCCTGTAATTTCAGCTGATTGAGGAACTTGAATAGGGGTATCATTGATTTTCAGAATCAGCGGTGGTTTATTGTCTCTTTTTCTATACTCATCTAATGAACCTCAAAAATGAATTGATTATCGATGTAGTCATAAGCTGTGTAGAGGTGTAGAAACGACATTTGGTCAGAGGGGGGAGAATACCTGTATTGACTCATTAGCTTTGTGAATGGTGTTTGAAAGGTGTATAAACTCAGCACCGCTTCAAGGTGGATTAACCCCAAATATATTTATGAACTGCATAATAAGTTGAAAAACATTTGCAACACTTATACACACCTTTCCTCTTTTTGCTCTTTCATCCCCTAAGAACCCTAAGTCAGGGGTGTCCACATGTGTTAGTGCACTTAAGACGTGAGAGTCCCTGTAAGGGATTCATGAAGAAGTAGAGAACTCCTGTGTCAATAGCCTTGCCCCTAGCTACCCGTCCAAGAGGCCACTTAAACTGAAAGGACTGCATGAGAGACCAAATTGGCCACGAATGAGTTTGAACTTTGTTGTATGTTTAAAGCATGGAAACAGATCTCATTATTGCTGCTGTTAGATTAAAGTATGCCATTCTTTTCTCTGTTGGTAGAGGTTTTCCACTCAATGTAGTATAGATGAGAAAATCCCCCCTAATTATTATTTAATAAAATGGCAGAGGTTTTTTAGTTTAGAGTGTAAAACTGCTTTTCAGAAATCTTCACATTTTAGATTCCATGGCCATGGTTTGTTTGGGTATGATCCCTTTATCAAATAACATAGCAAGGTTGTCATTTTACCATACATGCTTGTCATTAAAAACCCATTAACATTGTGTTTATGATAAATTTTTGGTTTTGATTGATAGGTGCAACATTAACCTTATTATTGGACCCAATGCCCTTGAAGTTTGACTCCAATAGGGGTTTGTTTGTTGGGCAGAGTTATTTGACCTGTTGACATCAAAGCTCAATCTAAAGCTGCCAGGCTTGAAAGCCACTGTGAAGTCCATATCAATTTGTATACCAGATTTTTAACTCACTCCATGTGTTAAATCCTCACCAAGCGAGGAAAATAATTTGTTTTAACTAGGAATGATTTTGCTTCAAATTTTAAGGTGGAATCTTTTCTAGGTATTTTTCTAAAACCAGAAAAGTGCAATTCCAGAAATGCAGTTATAAATATCAGATAGATTGTTTCATAGTGATGCCCAACAATCAATTGTCTGGACACAATGCGTCATCATTGTTATTGTAAAGCTTCTTTTCTATTTCCCTGTCTTAGTTATGAGCAGAAAACAAATCAAGTCAACCCATGTGAAGCCGTTTTAGTTCAGTTCCATTTCTTTTGACAGTTATCTGACTTGCACAGATTTTCTCATTTCCAGAAAATACAAATTGAGTTGCTTTAATAGCATATTTCATATTCTAAGTAAANAAGCGAGGAAAATAATTTGTTTTAACTAGGAATGATTTTGCTTCAAATTTTAAGGTGGAATCTTTTCTAGGTATTTTTCTAAAACCAGAAAAGTGCAATTCCAGAAATGCAGTTATAAATATCAGATAGATTGTTTCATAGTGATGCCCAACAATCAATTGTCTGGACACAATGCGTCATCATTGTTATTGTAAAGCTTCTTTTCTATTTCCCTGTCTTAGTTATGAGCAGAAAACAAATCAAGTCAACCCATGTGAAGCCGTTTTAGTTCAGTTCCATTTCTTTTGACAGTTATCTGACTTGCACAGATTTCCTCATTTCCAGAAAATACAAATTGAGTTGCTTTAATAGCATATTTCATATTCTAAGTAAACCATAACTTGATTCGTACCTAAATTTATTTGTGCCAAATTCATTGTCTGTGGAGCTCTATGGTTTATTTTCAAAACTAGAAAAGGAAAATAGAAAGTTAACCATTTATATTGATTCAAAATAGATTTTTGCAATTATTGCTTAAAAATGCTTTTCAATGAAATATATTTTGAAAATAATGGGGGGTTTGAAAAATGTTTTATGTTTATATTTTCCTATACATTTTATTGCTATAAGATCACTTCTGATCATTGCATCTTAATTTCAGCATTTGTTTGAATGTTATTACAAAAAAAAATATTAAATAGCAAATTGCTGAATTTACCAGCATCTTATGTAATGTTGAAATTTCATTTACAAATATTTCAGAATAAACTGTGAAGATGTCCGGTTAATGTTATGGGATACTGCTGGGCAGGAAGAGTTTGATGCAATCACAAAAGCTTACTACAGAGGTAAGAAATTGAGAAAGTGATCTTTAAAACCACATTATATAATAATGGTGTACACCTTAAATTTTTCACCTCTTAGTCACTAGGAACTGTAGGCATCGGAAAACCTTAAGTCTGAATCAGAATAAATAAATGAGTCCAAAGATGGAAACGATAGATAAAGGGAAAGTATCCACAAGTTGATTGCCTTGCACCAGGGATTGGTTTAACAGAAGTGTTTTCAACTAAATGTTGGTCATAAATGTTGACCTAAGTTTGGTCTCAAACTTTAAAAAGGGGTTTTCAATGGGTTTAGAACAATTTCATTTAATCGGTTTTCATTTACTGATTTAGCATACTTAATTTAAAGCATACTTAATTTTTGTTAAAATATTTAGATCAAATTTCACTCTAAGGTTCCTCCTCGAAACGAGCCCAGGTGGCTATACAGACTGCAATGCAGGCTATAATAATATACGGGCAGTGAACTGCATCCCTTAATGGGCAATTCCATGTTTGGTTACATGGTTAATTGATTTAGATGTATAAATGATGAGGGACCAATTGCCTATAA